GCCGTTCCCCCGTCACCCCCGGGAGAGCCGTTCCCCAGTCACCCCCGGGGAGAGCCGTTCCCCCGTCACCCCCGGGAGAGCCGTTCCCCAGTTACCCCCCGGGAGAGCCATTCCCCAGTCACCCCCCGGGAGAGCCGTTCCCCAGTCACCCCCGGGAGAGCCGTTCCCCCGTCACCCCCGGGAGAGCCGTTCCCCAGTTACCCCCGGGAGAGCCGTTCCCCAGTTACCCCCCGGGAGAGCCATTCCCCAGTCACCCCCCGGGAGAGCCGTTCCCCAGTCACCCCCGGGAGAGCCGTTCCCCCGTCACCCCCGGGAGAGCCGTTCCCCCGTCACCCCCGGGAGAGCCGTTCCCCAGTTACCCCCCGGGAGAGCCGTTCCCCAGTCACCCCCCGGGAGAGCCGTTCCCCCGTCACCCCCGGGGAGAGCCGTTCCCCAGTCACCCCCGGGAGAGCCGTTCCCCAGTCACCCCCGGGAGAGCCGTTCCCCAGGCAGGAGTTAATGCTAAGTCCGATGCCAAGCCAGTAATGTGTGCATGCTGTGTTTATTTATTGCCGGGTGTGGTTATGTAAGCATGGGCGTGCTACTCTGCTTTGTCACACGCACACAACACAAAAATATACAGTACACACACACACACAGGGTGCAGATTCACAGCACACACAGCACGAAGATACATAGACACACAGCATTGGACACGCACATGTGTGCATGCCAAGCCACTCCATTGCAATTTGCGGGGTCGTGTGGGGGGGGGTGAATTTCATCGCGCTGGTCAGCGTGGCAGAGTGAAGGCAGGGAGCATAGACGTAGGAGCATAGTACGGTACAACGACGGGCCTTGCTGCACGGCGCACGCGGAACCCCCCGCCGCAGCCGATGACACCTGTTGGACGCACGAAGCTACAGACTCGCAGACCCAGCGGGCTGTAAGCTCCCACACACGCGGCGTGGACCGTAGCGAGCTCCGCAGACTTGCCCCGCTCAGCCTGCACGGGGTACTGCACGCGCCACTCCAACCACGTGGCAGTGGGGTCGCGCTGCCAACTCCCGACCGCCTTTGTCTCCCCGACGCCGAGACCAGTCGCAAGTGTTTTTTTTTGTTTAAACGAAGTTGCCACACGCGTGAGTACTTGTTGCGGCTGCAGAGGAACCGGTTGACGCAGTGTGCGTGTGTGGTCATGCAAACGTTTAACAGGGGGACGCGACGCGCACGGACAAAGAATGCCCAGAGACAAAGATCCCCCGTGTAGCCTTAACAGACTGTTGGGGCAAGTGCTGTTAGCGAGCACCTATGAAGGCTGGCACGGCGCACGAGATGGTGGGTAGCCAACACCACGCCTTTGTCTCCCTCGTGACGATGTTTAGACACCGCACCATCTACTAGTTTGAGGCCGAGTGGATCTAGGGGAGGAACGACAACGTAATCACACACACCACGACTCACACACAAAGACCACACGACACACAATCACACACAACAAGGCATGTATAGAAAACACGCTTCGGACACACAACGCGTACACATATCCCCGTATAGCCTTAAACAGATTGTTGGGGCAAGTGCTGTGAGAGAGCACCTATGCACACACACAAACTTAACCGCTGGCATGCATCACTGTACGTGGTGGTGATTTTACTCCAGTGCTTGTGCCAGGCTAGGTGCAGACTTAGCGCACACACACACAACAAAATCAGACCAATTGTACCATTTCACACAGCCCCAACAGCGGAATTCCCACGAGCACACACACACACCGCCAAGACAAAGACCCTCACAACTAAGAGGGCGCTGTGGAACCGCCGCCTACGACAGAGACTGTCTGTGGGCGACGCGTTGTGGAAGCCGGCTCCGACCACCTGGTGGTGCCCGGAGCCACGAGTCACGAAGGCAAAGATCACCCCGTATCGCCTGCTCATGCTGGTGGCGCTGTTAGCGAGCTCCTGTTTTAAGGCCGCGACGGCAAACCACGGGGGCGCGTGCTGTGGTCAGCACCACGCCTGGCCGCCTTTGTCTCTCCGGTGCTCATGTTTACACACCGCACCGGGCACGATACTCATTTGAGGGCTGAGTCGACCTAAGGGGGAGGGCCCCGGAGTGGTTTCCGTGAATCATTGCTGGTGTTGGCCGTGAGCAGGAATCGAACTGGGGGTCGCTGCTGCACTAGCCCAACGTGAGAGAGGGAGGGTGGAGAGGAGTGGTCGGATCGAGGCATTGAGGCGAGAGGCCAGGAACCCCTCAAGAGACCCACAGAGATCCACCCCTCAAGAGACCCACAGAGATCCACCCTGAAGAGACCCACAGAGATCCACCCTCAAAAGACCCACAGAGATCCACCCTCAAGAGACCCACAGAGATCCACCCTGAAGAGACCCACAGAGATCCACCCTCAAGAGACCCACAGAGATCCACCCTCAAGAGACTCACAGAGATCCACCCTCAAGAGACTCACAGAGATCCACCCTGAAGAGACCCACAGAGATCCACCCTCAAAAGACCCACAGAGATCCACCCTCAAGAGACCCACAGAGATCCACCCTGAAGAGACCCACAGAGATCCACCCTCAAGAGACCCACAGAGATCCACCCTGAAGAGACCCACAGAGATCCACCCTCAAGAGACTCACAGAGATCCACCCTGAAGAGACCCACAGAGATCCACCCTCAAAAGACCCACAGAGATCCACCCTCAAGAGACCCACAGAGATCCACCCTCAAGAGACTCACAGAGATCCACCCTCAAGAGACTCACAGAGATCCACCCTCAAGAGACCCACAGAGATCCACCCTCAAAAGACCCACAGAGATCCACCCTCAAGAGACCCACAGAGATCCACCCTGAAGAGACCCACAGAGATCCACCCTCAAGAGACCCATAGAGATCCACCCTGAAGAGACCCACAGAGATCCACCCTCAAGAGACTCACAGAGATCCACACTCAAAAGACCCACAGAGATCCACCCTAAAAAAACTCAGAGATCCACACTCAAGAGACTCACAGAGATCCACCCTCAAAAGACCCACAGAGATCCACCCTCAAGAGACCCACAGAGATCCACCCTCAAAAGACTCACAGAGATCCACCCTCAAGAGACTCACAGAGATCCACCCTCAAGAGACCCACAGAGATCCACCCTCAAGAGACCCACAGAGATCCACCCTGAAGAGACCCACAGAGATCCACCCTCAAGAGACTCACAGAGATCCACCCTGAAGAGACCCACAGAGATCCACCCTCAAAAGACCCACAGAGATCCACCCTGAAGAGACTCACAGAGATCCACCCTCAAGAGACCCACAGAGATCCACCCTGAAGAGACCCACAGAGATCCACCCTCAAAAGACCCACAGAGATCCACCCTCAAGAGACCCACAGAGATCCACCCAGAAGAGACCCACAGAGATCCACCCTCAAGAGACCCACAGAGATCCACCCTCAAGAGACCCACAGAGATCCACCCTCAAGAGACCCACAGAGATCCACCCTCAAGAGACCCACAGAGATCCACCCTCAAGAGACCCACAGAGATCCACCCTCAAGAGACTCACAGAGATCCACCCTCAAGAGAACCGGGCAACTCCCACAAACACGGTGGCGGCGATGGCACACCTTCAATTTCAATGCCAGATTCCGTGACGTAAGCACACAGCTTACGTGACACACACACAGTGCACGTGACACACACACAGTGCACGTGACAACTCCTATCACACAGGTGGCCTGGCACACGGAGCGCGTGGCAGGGTCCCCGTCGTCCCTGTGCGCGCCCTCCCGACCCCGTCTCGCGTTTTTCATCCCCGTCACTCCTGGTGCGGGGACACAGTGGCAAGTTTGTCTCCCCGTGTCTCTGTGTCTCCCCGTGTCTCTGTGTCTCCCCGTGTCTCTGTGTCTCCCCGTGTCTCTGTGTCTCTGTGTCTCCCCGTGTCTCTGTGTCTCCCCGTGTCTCCCCGTGTCTCCCCGTGTCTGTGTCACCCCGTGTCTCCCCGCGTCTCCCCGCGTCTCCCCGTGTCTCCCCGTGTCTCCCCGTGTCTCCCCGCGTCTCTGTGTCTCCCCGTGTCTCTGTGTCTCCCCGTGTCTCTGTGTCTCCCCGTGTCTCTGTGTCTCCCCGTGTCTCTGTATCTCCCCGTGTCTCTGTGTCTCCCCGTGTCTCCCCGTGTCTCCCCGTGTCTCTGTGTCTCCCCGTGTCTCTGTGTCTCCCCGTGTCTCTGTGTCTCCCCGTGTCTCTGTGTCTCCCCGTGTCTCTGTATCTCCCCGTGTCTCTGTGTCTCCCTGTGTCTCCCCGTGTCTCCCCGTGTCTCCCTGTGTCTCCCCGTGTCTCCCCGCGTCTCCCCGCGTCTCTGTGTCTCCCCGTGTCTCTGTGTCTCCCCGTGTCTCTGTGTCTCCCCGTGTCTCCCTGTGTCTCCCCGTGTCTCCCCGCGTCTCTGTGTCTCCCCGTGTCTCTGTGTCTCCCCGTGTCTCTGTGTCTCCCCGTGTCTCTGTGTCTCCCCGTGTCTCTGTATCTCCCCGTGTCTCTGTGTCTCCCCGTTTCTCCCCGTGTCTCCCCGTGTCTCCCCGTGTCTCCCCGTGTCTCTGTGTCTCCCCGTGTCTGTGTCTCCCCGTGTCTCTGTGTCTCCCCGTGTCTCTGTGTCTCCCCGTGTCTGTGTCTCCCCGTGTCTCTGTGTCTCCCCGTGTCTCTGTGTCTCCCCGTGCCTCTGTGTCTCCCCGTGTCTCCCCGCGTCTCTGTGTTTCCCCGTGTCTCTGTGTCCCCGTGTCTTTGTGTCTCTCCGTGTCTTTGTGTCTCCCCGTGTCTCCCCGTGTATCCCCGTGTCTCCCCGCGTCTCACCGCGTCTCCCCGTGTCTCTGTGTCTCTGTGTCTCCCCGTGTCTCTGTGTCTCCCCGTATCTCCCCGTGTCTCCCCGTGTCTCCCCGCGTCTCCCCGTGTCTGTGTCTCCCCGTGTCTCCCCGTGTCTCTCCGTGTCTCTGTGTCTCCCCGTGTCTCTGTGTCTCCGTGTCCGTGCTCACCTGGGCTGTGTTCGTGGTCTCCTCGCTTCCACGGAGCCGTCCTGCTCTGTAACGCGAGGGAGGGGATCCGCTCCCACACAGCAGCAGCTGCACTTGGGGGTACAGCAGGAAACGCCTCGCCCCAGCCCCTGCTCTCACAGCTGCTGCCCAAACCTCCCAGCTGCCTGCAGCTCCTACGGTCCTCCTACTGCTCTTCCTCTCAGCCTCCTACTCGATACCCCAATCTATTCCTCACTCTTAGCGCTCACGATCACTCTCGTCCTCGCTATCCGACTTCACCCCGAACTCTACCCACTGCACCTCTGTCGCCTACTCCGCTCTGCTACGACTCGCCCCACTCTCCTCTCTCTCCGCACTCTACGCACTGATTTATTGATGCCGTGTGCCGTCTGCTCTGGACTTGCCTCGGGCTCACAAAGACGCCGCCTCTCCCCGCCACCCACACCACTCGCACAGGCAGCCACGTCCGGCCACTCCCCCATCCGCCAGAGAGCTCCCCTCGGGTCTCTCCCCATCCCCTCGCCCCCTCCCCTTCCCCCCTCGCCCCCTCCCCGCCCCCTCCCTGCCCCCCCCCCCTCCCCCCCTCCCCCCCCTCGCCCCCTTCCTCCCCTCGCTCTCTCTCCCCTCGCTCGCGGTCTCCCTCCCAGCCGCGATGCACTGCCGCGACGCCGCCTCCGCCTTCACCACCACCACGAGGAGAAGTCTCCCGGGGCGCTCACACAGCGAGCGCAGTCAGCCAGATCACAACAGGATTCAGCGATACAGTAGACAATGTTTTGTTGTTGACCAGGTAAGGCCCACGGAGCTATATAGCTCTCTTTTTCAGAAGCGACCTGGCCACAGATTAACCAGATCACAGCGTGGTTTTGACTTATTTATTTAGATTTACTACGCAGGATGATCCATGTAAGCAGTTGCCCCGCTACTTTACACGGAATATCCGTGGTACCGTGAGCACAGCTACAACAACAAAACGTCCATTGGAATATTGCACAAAATGGTAAGTCACACCACAATGTGGTTAGCCAGCTGACGAAATGGTTAGCCGGATCACAGCGTGGGTAGCCAGCTGACGAAATGGTTAGTCAGCTCACAACGCGGCTAGCCAGATGACGAAGTGGTTCGCCAGATCACCGCGTGGTTGGTTACACAGATGAAGTGGTTAGTCAGATCGCAATGCGGTTGGATCACAGCGCGGTCAACCAAGACATTGCAGCACTGCTCCTCTGCCTGTTTACCCAGCTGCTCCCGTTGATATTCCAGCACGGCGCTGCCGAGATGTGATCTCGGGTTGCGCGCAGTGCGAGTGGCGCGAGATGCCACGAGCGAGCAGTGATCAACTGCTGCTCTCTCTCTCTCTGGCATAATGGCAGGAGCAACGTGTTCAGGAGTTAGATGCCAATGTCCGCCGTTAGCCATGATGAGAGAGCTTTAGCAGAGAGAGTTCGTGTAGTTGTGCTGTTCCTCCTCCCTTGAAGGAGCGCATACTACGATACGGTCAATAGTTTGGGTCGCATTGTCACAATCGCACGACTGTGGCTTGCGTCTTGAATTTCCCATTCTGAAAGATGTCCACATCGACCTGTCGATTTTCTAATGCGGTTGATAGTTACACCAGCGGTGTGGGTGGGCGAGCGCGTGAATGAGGGAGTAAGTGGGTGGGTGAATAAGGGAGTGAGTGAATTGATGGTTACACCTGTGGTGAGTGGGTAGGTGAATGGGTGTGTGATGAATTGGAGAGCGAGATGGTTCTACCAGTGTCTTCGAGGGGGGAGGTCAAAGCCAGGAGGTGCGACGTTTGAGTCTCCAATGGAGGCGTTTTATTCTGAACGCCCGCGTTGTTCCACCGTTTCGCCAGCGACCTTCTGGATCCGGGTGTGAGTCTTGGATGGTGACAGCAGCGCGACCCCAGAAGGGATGGGATCGACACTTGAGTAGTCGGTGGTGAGGGACTGTGGATGTCTTGATTGATGGATAGGCGGTTGTCGTTGGTCAGAGAGCACGTGTCAATTCCCGTGCCGATTGCGCGCCTCTGCGGATATTTGGTGGCTGGGTGGCACAATGTTCGCCAGAACAGTGGAGCCAGGGGATTGGTATCGGTTCCGTTATTACTAAGCCTGGTCACCAGGAAAGCCTCACCGAGTCACGAGAGTCCTCTGCCGAGTTCATACGGACGTGAGTAAATTTCAATGAATTTGCAGGGATTCTTTCGTTATTGGAGATGTTTTTGGGCACTGCCAGTAAGGTTGAACGAGCTTTTGTTTTTAAGCTATGGGAGCAAACCGGAGAAAACAAGGGGGCTAACATGCACAATACACATTTTTAAAAAAGAAACCAGTCGGGATTGGAACCCATGTGCTTCTTTCTGCAAGGCGCGATCGCTCCCATGGCGTGTAAGGGCTAAAGGAGCACACCACGGGGGATGGATCCACAACGCGAGATCCAAACTCAAACTCAACGGCACAGCTCACGGAGGAGGGGGGCGCCACGGTGACGCGATGTTAACTTCCATGCCTGCTAGACATGGGTTCGATCCCAACCCTGACGCCGGTATATTTGGAGTTTGCAGGTTATCCCCGTGGTCGAGCGGATTTTTCTACGGGTCTTCCGGTTCCCCCCCCCCCCTCCACGTTTAGGAACATGCGTTGAGTGTATTTGGGTGCCATAAATTTCCACACGACGATAAACCCACCTCGTTGAGCCATCATTTGTGGCCAGGTCACTTCTGAAAAAGAGCTACATTGCTCAATGTGGCCTTACCTGGCAAGAGAAAGAAAAGAGTTCGCGACTCGGGTCGCAGAGGCAACGTGCGGCCTTCCATGTGGTCTGCAGGGGCCAGTGCAGCAACCAACCATTGCACTACTCCATAGTCGAGTGTATTATCCCACCAGCCCGTACTGACCAGCGGTGGTGGTGAAGTATGGCGACCTCTCCCCCCTCTCACAGCAGTGGAGTGACCCCTGGACTGGCGGTGTGTATTACAATCTCCGCGGGGCGAGCGACTGCCTCTGCACGCCGTCTGCAAAAGCGGACCCGAGGTACCCACGCGCCGGGCTGGCAACTCCATCTGCACAGCGGACTCTTGCGATAGAACTGTGGCTTTACTAGCCATCACCGCATCTGCAGTCGTCTGGGAACGCTCGTCCGATATTAGGACGCCACCTGGGAGCCGTGCACTTTCACATGTATATTGAAAACTCATTTACTTAGAACTTGTGTTTAGTTTGTCCTTCCGCACCCCACCCCCCCACTTTCGATTAGCACGGTCGGCTAACCTACGGTGCGAAATAAGTTTAACAATCAGTACTTACGAACTTTAAGCTACGAATTAAGCCGAGACTGCAGCGCCCTCTGGTGACCATACCCACACCGTTCGTGTCACAACGCGACTGGGAAAAACATCGCGAGGGTGATCACTGGACATTTGCGAGCTGCTTTGTAACTTATCGCCTTGTATACAGAAGGTCGTGGGTTCGATCCCGACCCTGGCGCCTGTATATTTGAAGTCGGTCTCTCTCCGTGGCCATGTGGAATTTTTTTCTCAGGGTCCTCTCCACATTTAGAAACATGCGTGTAGAGTACGTGGCCGCTGCTATACACATTTCCACACAAGCCAGTACCGTTGCGCCATCATGTGGCCAAGTCGCTTCTGAAGAGCTATATTGCTCAGTGGACCTTACCTGGTAAAATAGAAAGTTTGTGCTTAAATGAAGCGCTCTTGGGCAATGGTCCCTGACGACACAACAGTTCAACGGGGGTGGAGCACTCGGCCGCTCTGGCCTCCTTCGTTGCCCACCGCTGCCAAAGCAGCAGCGTCAATGGTGTAACGAATAAAAAAGTCCAAAAATCCCGATGCGAACCAAAATAAACGTTTAAAAAACGGTTTTATTTTAAAGTGCACTTAAAAGTAAATAACGCGATTGGACAAGGGGAAGCGGACGACCTCTGGATTACGAGAAACGCGGCGCTTGCTTTTTGTGCGAGCCAATTCCAGTTAGGTGAAAACGCTGCGGTCGACACAAAAATATAATTAATATGCCGTCCATGGAAAATGTAATTGCTTGAAAGGAGGAATTTATGCAATTTTAATTAGAGGCATGCATTGTCACGGGATCAGAGTTCGTGTGCAAAATTTGGAATGGATTGGACAACAGGAAGTAGACAAAATTTGTATTACAAGATTTGAGCACGACAGCTTTCAAGTTAAGCAAAACAGTTGAAAAGAAATCGCCTAATTTCTGCCGAGCCGGGATTACGCTGTAACATCGCTACCCCCGTTGCAAAAACACGTGGCAGGACACCTTCCTGAAGTCAACTATGCGAGGTTTTCCTGCGCGCACAAGCATAATAAATAATTAAATGGCAGCCGGCCACACGTACCGTCCTGGCATGGGAACCTTGTTCAGGTCAGCATCACCACGAACACTTGGTTCACTCCCCAGGTCGCTTGTAGGACGAAGGCTCCGATTTAGAAAACCTCCCTATAAAACACCCCCCCCCCCCCCATCCTTCCCACGAAATCTTTCGAGTTCCACATCCTTCATCGGTACCTTACTTAAAAAAAAATTCTCTTGGGTGGAGGTCCCGCGTCCCCTGCGTAACCCCTACACCCCCCCCTCCCCCTACACAAAGCTAATGATGTACCGGTATACGACCCAGTCGACAACGTTGGGTGTGGCCGCCAGATCCTTGCATTCGAGCAGGAAACAGCCAGTGCAGAGGGAGACGCGACGATAGATGCGTGCAGGAGCTATGGGTAACTAGGGCTGCACAATGTCAGATCGCCGGATCTGGCTTGGGTGTGGTCAGTTGGATGCAGTAGATTGTTTTATGCAACCCACCCTGGCCACGGGTCAGAAATATCACCCCCCTCCCCACCGTCACTGCAGAGTAGTTGCTCTTCTTCTTACCAAAAACTTGCAGCTATAAACCGTAAAATTGCCCAACCACCCCCCCCCCCCCATTATCCTGTCATCATGCCCTCTAACGGTAGAGTTCTCCAGGCAGTTGGAAGACATTTTAGAAACACTATTTGGTGAAAATACTCAAAAAGTCTGACAGTCATTGACCTGGTGGGCATGTAGTGGCACAGCAGTTGGCATGGGATCTGGTACAAGGAATTGATCAATTGTGCCCTGGCAAATTTCGTGCTCCTTCTGCAGCACCATCTAGAAAACTGCACTCCCTCCAAGCCCCACCCCCCCAACGCACACTTCCCAGGAAGCATTCCAACATTGCACGTTCCTTGGGTCTATAGCATGAGACACAGGTTTCCATCGAAAAGTCATAATGAAAAGGCCCCATTCGGGTAAAGCAGTCAAAAAACTTTATTTCACAAATCGTCTAGGTTTCCGCTTTGGAGGGGTTACGGAGGCACTGGAAGCAGACGGTGAACTTGAGCACGAGGCCCAGGACCAGGAGGACGAGGGCAGCCAGAGCAGCGCCCCACAGCACCCGGCCGTCCACGGTGGCCCCTGCACACAGGGGAGGAGACGGCCATTGACGGCATCACCACAACCACCACTGGTCAGTGCGAGTCGGTGTGGAATAGACAGAGGGTGTGGTACATGCAGTGCAATTTGTCGAAGTGCCCTCTGCTGTTCACAATGTAGTTAGCCTATAACCCCTGTTATACATAGTGGTCATCCACCCAAATTGCCAATTAATCTTCAGACCTAAAAAAAGCATGTACAGTTCGGTTTGTCCAATTACTAAATGGTGGCGGTGGGTTGTCAATTGGCAGGTAGAGGCCAAGGTAAGCACAGCAGGGGTTGGGCATTCAGAAACACTGCACGAATTTAGCGCCAAAAATTGTGGAAGTGTCACCACTTGGCTTCCATCATGGAGCCAGTTCTGGGAGAATAATTAAGAAACTGGGCGTTACAAAAAAAGGATCAGAAATGTTAAGACAGAATTCGGCCACCTAAGCCACAGCCGTCAGCTTGACTTTAAAACCAAGTAAAACTCACGGCCAGAGGTCTCGGCGTCAAAGTGGAGAGGGCCACGGCTGACGATGTAGATCGGCGTTTCCACTAACGTCAGGGGGCTGCGCTTGGTTCTGGGAAGCAGACATCCCTGGTAGCACCTGGAGCCAGCTGAGGACCTCTTGCAGGCCATGACGGCACAGTGGATGTACACCTGGGAGCAGAACAGAGCTCGCACTGCTTAGAAGGAAGTTTGGAGCACGGGGTGAGGTATGGAAAACATTTCGAGAAGTAGCTCGGCCATCTGGGTTTTCCTTGCAATATTTAGAAAGCTACCTAGGGCTGCCCTAAAGCTATATTTGGAAAAAAAAGGTTCTTTTGAACCACTTTGGGTTTGGCTAGTCTTTCTCCTGCACCTCCAAGTTTGCACAGTTGGCTACATAACAGTAGGAAGGGTCATACAAGCTTCAAAATAGCGTGCCTAACGTAGGTGGTGCTGTGTTCGTAAACTTGATGCAGAAGAAACTGCCAAGCAGGAGGGTCACCAGCAAAGTCCAGCCCTCTTACCAGCACTGCTGCCCTATAGCTATTGGATAACAGGACCTAATGATTCAATCGTTAGGGCCCTCCAACAGGTGCCATGGCAGGATCAGTGACAGTCTACAAACCAACACTCCACGGTTTAGCTGCCACCCCAGATTAGGTTGAAGTGCCATGAGGTTGTCTTGGTACGGAAGCGTTACCGACAACTACACCAAGCAAAACACAAGCCGGCAGCACAGCTGTGCTGCTCCCATCTCTTAAAAATGCAGTTGTCGAGCACATGTCTAAAAGAAGTCCAAAAGTGGCAGTCGATTAGCACCGAGACTAAAAACAGGTAGTCTTGTAGAGGTCAACACCACACCGGGCAGAAGACTCGAGTGAAGCGCATGAGGATAGCGATGATACCACGACAGCGAGCGATCAGTTCCGGCGAGGTGAGTGAAGGGAGCACGGCTCACGTTGGCACGATCGGTCGCGGTGAAGGCAAACATCCTGAAGCGGAAGTGGAGCTTCGCGTCCACAGTGGTGAGGTTCGTCATGTCCGCTAAGAGACACCTGCAAAAACAAACCACACCGTTTGTCACCCCCATCACAGCACTAAACTAGAGGGTTCCACCCCACCCCCCTTGTGTAGCAGCAGAAAATGAAGCAACCCCCACAGGACAGCAGGTCGACTGGGGGGCCCCCCCCAATCGTCTTGATTGCATGGAGGGGGTGTGGTGGTAGGGTACCATACCCGTCCTGGATGAGGTAGTATTTGTTGGGGTGCTGGGGGCTGCTGTCAGGGGTGGCGTAGCAGTCCACTGCGAAGATGGTGACGTTCAGGGCACTCCTCACAGACACCTGCAGGTGCATCGCGGCTCCCAGGGTCACAAGGAGTGGGTACTGGCTTGGCAGGAAGGGAGTCCCAAACCCAGAATCCGTGAAAAACTCCATGCGCAAATCCAGGAGCGAGAACACGGTCTGGTTGAGCACTAGGGCTAGTGCGGTGGGCTCGAGAGGCCCCCGACTCAGCAGCTTCGTCCGTGGAACCTTGCAGCTATAAGAGAATCGGAGGGAAACAAATCAAGGGGCTGGAATGTTTGTAAAAGGGGGAGGTGCAGTTGCAGATAGTCTGCAGTAAGTATTTACAACGTCAAGGGGGAGGGGTCATAGAGTTCCTACTGAAACGAGCATTGGTGCACATCTCTGCTGCAAGTTCCACATTTATAATGGGGGGGGGGGGGGGGGGGAAGTGTTTCATAAAAAAAAGTTGCCAGATTGCATCTGTGTCTACCAGGTGTTCAAAACAAAAATTTCAGGCCACAATTCTAACTTTCATACAAGACCAATGACAACATTCCCCCCACCAGTCATTTGTGAAAGAGCAACACCTCAGGGTGGCCCCTTATCTGGGTGAAAGTTTTAAAAGCTGTTAGTTTAAGAAAAGGTCCTGTGCAGCACTGGACAAACATCTCCAACGTACGTGCAGTTGACGAGGACACACTGGTAGTCGTAGGTCACGATGTAGCTCGTGCTGCTGGCCAGAGACACCATCTGTGTGAACACCAAGTCAGTGTCCGTCTCCTGCAGGGACAGAGGCCACACGGACACCATTAACAAAACTGCCAAGCATCCAACTAGACATTGTTACAATGCACTGCACTCAGCCCATGTTTTGCAGAGAAAGTGTTAGTATGATAGCAAAGGGTGCATTTTTGAACACGTGCAGCACTTTTGGTCAATCTGCTGGACGAGGGCCTCCCTACGACACACAAAATGGGGGGAGTACAAAGATTGCACTTCACCACAACGGTCCCTGAAATTCAAGGTTGAAGGTGTGCTGGTATCAGGTATAGGGCATATTTATGGATTTTACTGCCCTCTGCTGACAAAGTCCGGCAGAGCAAACATTTATCACCTTCACAGCACAGTTGAGTGCGGGAGACTCGCTCAGGACAAACCCGAGAAGCCACGAACTGGGGATCCAAGGGCAGACACCACCAAGGGCAGATGAGCATGGACGAGGCTAGAAGCGTCGGCAAATGGAAGCATTAACATAAACGTAATTTCATTCTTTTGGTAAAGTCGTGTAGAAAGAAAAATAGAATATGAAGTGTCATTTGTACCTGCCCGGTTGCAATTGAAACGTCGTATTCTATTAACTAATTTGTTTCTTTCTACAGGACTAACCGAAAGAACCAAAAGAGGAATTCCTGCAGTCACGAAAGCTTCGAATCTGGCGTAATTCGAGTTCATCGTCTCCACGAGTGGAGCGTGGCTACACCACGAGGACTTAAAATCAGAAGTTGTGAATTCTCTACAAATCCTGTGTGCATGCACGTGACCAGACTTGCACAACTGCTACTGGGCATGAGTATCAGACTCTTTGGAGACCCTAGAGTGCAGTGGAGCCCATCCATCATGGGTCATTATGCAGAGCTAGGTCAGGGGGTTGCAAAGACCCAAAAGGTGACAGTCGTTTGCCAACCTCAAAAATTGTGCCACAGGCACCGAAGGAGATGTTAAAGGTGACGAACTGCTGCTCGTCCATCAGGTTACAGCCTGTGGCCTGTGTGTTGAGCCTGAAAGAGGACGCGTTGTAGCCAAAAATGGCTCCTTTAGGGATCTTGACGATCATGTGCTCGTTCACGCAGCTCACATTGAAGGCATCTGCATGACAAAAAACAAGACGAGAAAGTTCAACTTAGCTAGTCGATGAGCAGCATCACAAGCCACACGTGCAGCACAAGTGGACTGGCATGATCAAAGCAAAAGTCTTGGGAGTTGCAGACCAAGCACTACAAACTTACATGGTGGAGACTGTATTTTGCCAACACTGAGAATGTTCCCAGCCTGAAAAACTTACAGTAAGATGCTAAACTTGGTGGCCAGCCAAGTGCAAGGGCGGCAAAAAGTGGCATTGACATTATGCAAAATGTGATTTCTAGAGCCGGCAAGAGGCTTGGTTGTGTTCAGCAGGACCAGGTCTTCCATACGGCCAGCATGTTGCAAGGGTGGCATAGCCATCGAGCACGCAGGTGGTACAACTGCTCTGGGCCCACAAGACATCTGGACCACCCTGCACAGCACACCTAGGAATCCCCTCCCACCATCTCCCACCACGGTGGGGACCGGCAGGATCCAGTCGCAAGCGTCGTGCGCAGCAGAGTTGAGCCGTTGGCCGGGAGTGGTGAACACGTCCTGTGCCACGCCCGGGTCCAGCTGCAGGCAGCAGCGCGCACCCAGGGCACCCGCAGGAATGTCAAACGTCATCACGTCCCCGGGGCCCTTTTTCACCAGCTTCTGGTCGGCAGCATCGATCTTATAAACCAGAGCACCGCCCTCGACCAGGTGGAAGCGAATGTATGCCGTGGGCAGGGCCGGGACAAACTGGAAATGGCAAAGGGAAAAAGTGTGGCGTTAGGCAAGAACGATCACACGCACTGTGGGAATCGGAGCTGGCACATATGATATTGTACAGTGCAACAGTTTAATATTAAATGCACTCTGACCAAGAGGAGCAGAGTACTAGGTAGACGTGGCACAGCCAACATCCTGGGTTCTCATCCAGACAATAAAAAACTGGGTTCAAGTATTGGACAGTTGACAAATTAAGTTCCATCTACAGTGGTGCCTTACCTGGTAACATAAGCATTTCATCTATTATGGGCCATCTGGCCTGCGAGTCGACAATTGACAAGCTGATGGACACATGGATTATACATTATTGCTCTCAATTGAAACTTCGGTTACATTAACAGCACAACAGGAACCAGTACCACCTGCTGATTGAAGAAAATGGTGAAGTCCATTGCCCCACTCTTCTGAACGTTAACGCTGAAGTGCAGGGCCATAAGTGTCGTCGGCGCTGGGGTAACTTTAATAATGGCGGCTCGCAGCCTCTGCAGAGGATCGGGGACACCTGCGGGTAATGACGAGTCATGTGAGATTTAAGCATTGGAGGCACAGCACTAGCTGGCTAGTAGTCACTTAAATCCCCACAAAATCAAGGGACGTTTCAAACCACAGAACTCTACATCCATTACAAAAAGCAAATGTACAAGGTCTGCAGTGCCACATATATGCTTTACAAAAAGCAAGTTAAGTAAATGTGGTAAACTGTGTTAAATCACACATTAAAGTACATTGGTAGATCTCCCTCTTTAGAAGGAGTTCTCATTCCTACCCCCCCCCCCCCCCACTCGTTTCCCTCCCCCTGGGTGGAAATTCACAAAATAGCAACCCCCCCCCCCCTTCCAAAATCAGCAAGCTGGTGGGTCGTACCAACCCCTACCATAGATTTGACACTTTACACTCCACCAATTCAGACATTAGTTACCCTTAGGTGGTAACTTTGCAGTCAGCAAGACAGGACTCGCAGGTTCAATCTAATCCAGAAGGCAGTGATGCAGCTACACACCTACAGGGCCACTTGGCACAACGATGGTGATGCAGCGCAGCTCACCCTGCCATCTGGAAATACATGGATGTGCATCAGAATGTCAAACGATTAATACTGCCAACCAAATCATTCAGGGTGGAGGTGGTACAGAGCCTAGGAGGGAGTCAAACCACCAATAAAAAAGCCATGTTTTCGCAGGGGCAGTCACCCGTCCAAGGTCAGCGCATAGAAGCACGTCCAGCGAGCCCCCGCGTCGGTAGCAGACGGAGTCCAGAGCAACAAGGTCCGGTGGATGTGCGCGTCCTCTGGCGCCCTCTCCAAAACACCGACAGGGACGCCCTTGCCAGACAGCACCACGATCTCCAACGAGATCACCCTGGAAAAAATGGAAGCCAGCAGAGGCGTTAGAAACCAGGACATGATCAGAGCAGCACCAGCCTCTTAATAGCAGTATGCTGCAAGGATGCTAAGATTTCAGAAATAAAAAAGTGCAGTATTGCACGAAAATAAGTTTCAGCCTTGCACAACACCTCTGGCTGAAAAGAATGTAACATGGTCATTGGCCAACTGAAAATTTGAGAATGTAAAATGACCACGCAGTTCGAGCTTCAGCATTGTACACCTTTAGAGGCGTTTTAGCCACATTCTCCAGCCTGCATTGATGGCTCCGTTGTCAAAATGCGTTTACAGGTTTAAAAAAAGAAACGGTGCAGATTTACAGAGTGCGAGGCATGGCACGCGGCAACAGAGTAGAGACTGCACGAACTGCTCACATTTCGAGGTTGCTTGAAGCTCTGACCTTCACGGCAATGGGAATTTGAAGGCGAACTCCGACGCGGGCATTCACCACGGCACCCTGGCTCGGCGTGGGGCCGACAAACACGAGGCTGACACAGGCCTCGGATGCTGCAACTGAAGTGGCGGTGACAGACTGATTAGAGCTAAAAAACCTGCCACAACACCGTCTCCCAGGATCAAATTGTCACACTCAAGCGAGAACAGACACTGAAACAGGCCTGGGCTTCAGGAGAACTTTGTCATTGGTAGTGCAACATGCAAAAGGTGCTATGTTGGAAAGATCTTAACCATTTCCTGGTACACAGGTCGTGGGTTCGATCCAACTAACGCCTGTAAATTTGGTGTGCAGGTTCTCCGTGGTCGCATGCACCATAAGGATTTGCGATAGTTAGGTTGCTTCTTAAAGAGTTATAGCTCAGAGAGCCTTGCCTGATTACAGCCACTGGGGAGTGACCTATTAGAAAGGTTTCATGATAAGAATTGAATTGCATTATGGACGCTACAAAAAAAAAAAGAGTCCATCAGTTTCCACACATTTTGGTCATGGAACCAAGACAAAAGCAGCATTGGGTACACTCACCACATTGTTACCATGTCCCTGCTACCCACTAGAGCTCAAATGATGCATCCTCACCCAAGACGGAGAACTGCAGCGTCACCGACGACAAGCAGTCCACTGGCGTCCTGTAGGTGCCCTTTGTCTCAATAACTGCAGTCGGGAAGTCCTCTACCACCACCATGACGCCAAACTGCTTTGGGAGTTGGTCAGTCACCTGTCCAACAAACTCAAACTCGCAGCGGTCCTGGGAAAGCAAAAAAAAGGAGCGCAGCAGTCAGCATCGAAGTAATATATATACACACACCGTTACATCCAATACACGTTATGAAAAACGTGCACGAGGAGAACACTTTGTCAGCATCAAAACTCTGGCCAAGCTGCGATTAAAAACAAACATTGTTTACCCCTGCCAGTGCCACAGGAAAATACCACTTTAAAAATGTTTAAGCTCATCACCAATTAATGCATAATTTGGTGCCATTAGGCACAAAGATGATATTTGGGACAATTGGCAGACTGCTACTATTCATCATAACTTTGAGGGAGTCTGCCAAAAGTCCACTCCCAGACTAATCAATGCTTGGCCCAAAAAGGCTAGAAATCCCACGCTGGAAGACGCACTTGCACTACAGGTTGTAGCAAGGGGACAACCACAACGTACCTCCAAGAGGCGGGCGTTGGGGAACGTGCCACAGATGCCACCATGACACTCGGGTCCTCTGGCATAACGGCACCTCACAGTGTCTCCGTCGGGGTCCGAAACGTGGATCTTGACGTTCGTCTGGCACTGGTTACTCACTCTGCGTGACAAGCAGACGCACCTCGGGTTCAAACATCTGCTTCGGCCAATGATGCGACACTTGAGATGGTCACACAACCTTCAAATATGGATCAAGTTGCAACAGAGGGCTCGGCCCAGGGAACGCGGCGTGCCGACAGCCCCGCCCATAGGGCGTGGCCCGTTGGTTAGCCCCACCCAGAGGAACACGAGGCCCAGGGGACGAGACAAAAATCCAGATTTTGTTGAGACATCGAGAGAACTCGGAAAGTGGGAGAGTCCAGTCAGTTTAAGCCGCTGTCAAGCACGAGTGCCATTTAAAAACGAAATTAAAACCATTTTACTTTACCAGGTAAGGCTTGGAGCTATATAGCTTCAGAAGCGACCTGGCTACAAATGATAGTTCCAATGTGGCACATTACCCCATGTGGAATTTATAGCAGCTAAACTAAAACGCGTGATGTGGAGGACCCAGAAAAAAAATCCACGCGACCAAGGGGCGAGGACACGCAAACTTCAAATATGTAAATATATAGCAGGCGTCAAGGGTCGGGATTGAACCCATCCACAGTACCTGACGAGGTGCGCGATGCTGGCCCTCGGTGAGCTGTTGGGCTGGCCCGTGTCGCTTCTGGTTCTTAGGTCCACAAAGGTAGACAGGACAAAGTCGACACTTCTCTGCACGGTCACAAAGCCAGACTCAACGAAGTAGTCGCTGTTCCAACAGCAAGACCTCTGCCTAGAGACGAAGGCAAACAGTTGGGCGTTCAGACGGGTAGAGTGCAGCGGGCCATGGATAGCTGCTCAGAGGCTGGTTCGAAGCACCTTCAAATATTCAAAAGGGTCTTTGGTTTGCAAAAACTTCTATTACAGACCAATTGTGCGATTACATTTTGTCAATGTATGCATGTTTAACTTATTTTCGCACGGTACGCAGCCAACCATCCGCAGTGGTGGCTGTTAACATCCGAAATGCAGCATGGGTATGTGGATTACATCGTGAATCTCCCTAGCCCCAGCTATCGAGGTGACGAGCCAGGGTACTGCGGCAGGGCAAAACAGCACGTGAAGTGCTGTAATCGCCATATGTACGGGGAGAGAG